GGCTGTGGCTGTGGGGACAGCACCCTGACCCCTGACTCTGTGTGTTCCCACAGGCAAGATGTGGGTTGCAGAGGGGCCAGCCCCAGCCCAGTGGAGCCTGCGGGACGGGGCCCACGCTGGACACTTCCTGGCCACAGCTGACCACCTCCGCACTGCAGGACAGCTGGTGGACGTGGCCGTGGGCCCAGAGGGTGACGTGGCCCATGCCGTGGTTCTGGCCTCCATCAGCTCCTTCTTCCTCCATTTCCTGGAGGGTAGGACCAGAGAGGTGCACCAGGGCCCCCCACCCCCTCTCTCCCTGCCACCTGGAGCCACACTATGGGGTTGGCGGGCTGTGCTGGCTTTCGCCTATGGAGGAACTGTGCCCCATGGCCAGGAAAAGGAGGTAGAGGAGGCCGCCCGGGCACTGGGGGCCCCCCGAGTGGTGGCTGCTTGTGTCCCACAGCTGCAGAGTGACCCCCAGGAGCGGGGTCCTAAGCCCTTGGAGGAGCAGTGGGAGACGCTAAGAGCCATGGAGCAACTCTACACCAGTGGCCTGGGCTGCGACCTCCAGCTCCAGGCAGGGGACGAGGTCATCCCAGGTGAGCCGGGGGTGGGGGTGCCCTGGGAGGGCCTGGGGAGGGGGCAGCACATGCTGGGATGGCCATGTGCCCTGGCAAGGGTGCCAGGAGCTGAGGCTCCAGGTGGGGATGAGGCGGTAAAGGTGCCTGCAGGGCTGGTCCCCTCGGGAGAGCTGGGGGTTTGGGCCCCCCCAGCCAGGACACCTGGCTTCCCAGAGGGCTGCGTGATGCAAAGGGTCCCCCGCTGCTCCCACCGTTCTTCCTCTTTCCCCGTAGTTCAGCGCCTGGCCCTGAGCTGCTCCTGTGACTTCTTCCGGGCCCTCTTCACTTGCCCCATGCGGGAGGCGACCCACGACCCCAGCACCCCGCTGGCCACAGGGCTGTCCCCAGCCGAGCTGCGCCTCCTCCTCTCCTTCGCCTACACAGGGACTGTGGCAGGGCCGTGGCCCACGGTCCTGGAGGCAGCTGAGACCTCCCTGCGCTACCAGGCCTGGGGGCTCCTCACCCTCTGCCTGGATGTTTTCACCCGTGGCCTGACCCCAGAAACTGGCCTGGATGTTCTGGCCTTTGCTGCGGCTTACGGGCTGGCACAGGTGGGCCGCGTAGCAGAGGACTACATCTTGGCCACCTTCCCCAGCGTGGTGGCCACACCAGCCTTCCTGGATCTTCCTGCACATCTTCTCATCCACCTCCTCCGCTCTGACGGTCTCAACGTCCTCCATGAACTGGAGGCTTTGGAAGCAGCATGCCGGTGGCTTATGGCCAACGGACATGGCCAGGAGGATCTAGCCAAGGAAGTCCTGTCATCTGTTCGCTTTGCCCTCATGTCTGGCCGGGAGCTGAAAAAAGTCCCATCAGTGACTGCAGGGGTAGCTGACCCAAAGGTCCTCCACGAGCTCGTGGTAGCAAGCCTAGCCCCCATGGCCCAGCTGCCATGCCGGGTGCGTTCCTTGCAAGAGGTGCTGGTGGTTTGTGGTGGAGACAGACTGACAGCCAACCTGGCTGCCCGGAAGCCCAGCAGACATCTCTGGTTTGCCCACCGCTACCTCAGTGCTGTGGGGCTGGTGAAGCGGGTGGAGTGGCGGGCACTGGGGCACTTTCCTGACGGCCCTCGCTTTCGCCATGCTGTAGCTGTGGTGGGCAACATCCTCTACATCCTGGGTGGAAAACACTACTATGGGGTCCATGACACCCTGGCCAGTGTCTACAAGTGAGGGCTACAGAGGACCTACAGGTGCCATGTAGCACCAAGACATTTTGGGATCAGAGGAGGTGTTGGTGGAGCTAGAGCTGCCCCATGGACCCAAGGCATTGTGGCACTGCAGTTGGTCAAGTGGCTCCAAGGGATTGGCTGGGTGTAGGACTGGGAGGTGCCTTTCCACTCTGGGATGTTACAGGCTTTTTGGGGGTAGGGCAGGGAGGCCCTATGTGGAGATGCCTCAGGGCATTATGGGTTTGGCATTGCCCAAAAGGAGGTGATGGTCCCATGCAAGGGGACCATGTGTCCCTAAGGTATTATGGGATTGGCTGGTTGTATGTGGGTTGTTGCCCTCAGTAGTGCCAACATCACTCCATGGCATTGTCGTAACAGGTAATCTCTTGCTCCTTTACCTCTCAAACTCAGGTATCAGCCTATGGACAATTCCTGGGAGCGCCTGGCCAGCATGACCTGTGGGCGGAGCTACTTTGCTGCTGTGGCACTTGGGGATTTCATCTATGCCCTGGGGGGCAGCTCGGGGGAGCTCTACTGCACAGACACTGTGGAGTGCTATGACCTGACCAACGACACCTGGAGGTGAGATGGCTCCACATGAACAGCTGCTTTCCTCTGCCCTAGCAGCCCCTTGCATTGGACAGTGGTGCTCATTGAGTGGTCTTTGGGTCACTGAGCCTTCAACAGAGAATGGGCCTGCAGTGGCCTTTGGGAGAGGTCTACCGGGTGTTGAGCAACCGTGTCCCTTGGAGGTCATTGGGTGTTGGCCAGTGATGCTTCTTGGGTGGTGAATAAATTTTTTGTCCCATAGTATTCACTGAGCATCTGTTGGCCATCTGCCAAAGAGACAAATCATTTAAACATCTTCCAGCTATGTTCATTGGGTGCTCTGTTGGGTGTTTGCCAATATTGTCCATTAGGGAGTCCACTGTGAGTTGACCAATGGCGTCTTTTGGGGTCTACAAAGTGTTGAACAGTGATGGCCCTTGGGCATCCATTATGTGTTACCTGACGCTGCCCACTGAGGTACACCACTCTAGGTGTTGACCGCTGAGCGGTCAATGGAGCCATGGCTCACTGGGGAACTCTTGGGCAGGCAGTCACCACGGGGCAGCCCTGCTTAACTTGCCCTTTACCCCCTTCCTCTCTCTTTGCCCAGGAGGTGCCAGCCCCTGCCAATGGCTCTGTGTGGGCACGCGGCATGTGCCCTGGATGGTACCCTCTACGTGTCAGGGGGGTGTGATGAGGCATGCCAGTGCCAGGCGGCCATGCTGCGCTACATCCCGGATGCGCCTGCCACACTCCTGGCCCCCATGAATGGCCAGCGAGCTGGGCACGTCATGGAGGAGGCAGGTGGGCAGCTCTATGTGGCCGGGGGACTGTGCCAGCAGGATGGGCAGGCTGGCTACAGGGACCAGCTGGTCTTTGAGGTCTACAGCCCCAGGCTGGACATCTGGGTCCTCCTCAGTCCTCTGCCCCATGCCCATGTAGTTGGGGGTGCAGCTGTGCTGGGGGGGGAGCTGCTTGTACTGGGAGGGTACAGTCATGAGACCTACCGGGACACCCACTTGATCCATGCCTACCAGCCTGGCACCCGGCGCTGGATCACCCGAGGCACCTTGCCCCATGCCTATACTGACCTCCAGGCTTGTGTCCTCACTGTACCCCCTGCCTTGCGTGGCCCCAACAGCCTTGAGGACCCCTCAAGATCACCTGACACCCCCAATAGTACTTAGGGGGCTTAAAAGTTCTGCACCATACTGGGATCCCCAGGTAGCATCCATGGTCACCTCTATGGGACAAAATTACCCCCAGAACCCTTCTCAAGAATGGGTTCCTCCTGTGGCTTCCAGCACCCCCCACCCCAGGGTATATGCCCTAGACTGTGGGGACCCCGTGGGACACAAAGACTCCCCACACTGCAACCCTGTGCCTCCAGGAATACTCATTGCCCTGCCCTGACCCCTGCACTGGGAGCTGGGGATCCCCCGATTTCCCCCCACTCTTGGGCTGAATAAAAGTGGCTCCTGAACTACCTATGTGGGTCTTGTTTCTGCTGGGGAGCCCAGCCATCAGGTGCTTCTCGCAAGGAACAGGAGGAGAGCAGGAAACAAATAGTCTGAGCGTCCTGGATGGGTGGTGGTAGGGACCAGGATTGCCTGTATTCCTGGGTCCCCTGGGGAGCAGTGGGTGGAGGGCACTGGGGCTCTGGGTGTCTGCATTCATTGGGCATGGGGGAGGGTGTGCATGTGTCTTGGGATTGAGAGACATCTGGGGGTGCATGGGGAATCCTGAGGGAGTAAGACAGTCCTGGGGGTGCCAGGGTTTTGGGGTACACGGCAGGGTAGATGGGGGCATTGGGGGTCCTGGGACCTTTGGGGTTCCTAGGTGGTTCTGGGAGGTCTTGGCATCCAGAAGTGACCTGGAGTGCTTGTTGTGTGGAGAGGTGGGAGAATCCTAGGGCAGAATTGCAAGGAAATGCGGAGGTAATGGGGATTCTGGGAGATATTGGGGTACCAGTGGTACCTCTGTGGAGGGAATTGAGAGTCCTGGAATATGTAGGGGAGGGTTGCAGGTTCTCATGGCCAAAACAGTATTTTAGATGTGGTCTAATGAGCACTGAGCAGAGGGGGGATAATCCCTTCTCTTGGTCTACTGGCTATGCTCCTGTTAACCCAGCCCAGGCTTCTGTTGCTCCCCCATTGCTGCCAGGGTGCTCTGCTGGATCTTGTTCACCTTTCTGTTGACCAAAGCACACAGGTCCTTTTCCATAGCTCTGCTCCCCAGTCAGTCTGTCCCACACCGGCACTGTTGTGGTCTTCCTTCCAAGGTACAGGACTCTGCATTTGTCCTTCTTGACTTTCATCAGGTTTCTGTCAACCCATTTCTCCAGGGTGAATGGTGCTCCCTGAATGGTAGTCCTGTTGGAAGCATACAAACTTATCCCTCCCAACCTCGTATCACCTGCCAAGATGATAAAAGCACACTCAGTCACCTCCTCCATGTCATTGATAAAGATGTTAAAGAGAAGAGTTTCCAGCACAGCCCTGTCCGGTACTCCACATATTATCAGCATCCAAGCGAAGTATGATCCATTAGTCACTAGCCATTGGTCCTGACCTTCACATCACTTTTTACCTGTCCAATTCTCCAGCTGCTCAGGGCTTGATGGCCTAACTTGGATGCCATGACATTGTGGGAGAATTGTCAAAAGGAAGTCAAAGCCCCCGGAGAGCTGAGAGCTGATGCATGCTGCCCCACCACAGAGCCTAAGCACAAGAATGTGAGAAAGAGCACTGTTATAAAACTAAAAAAGGCATCATTAATCACCAGCATTGCTATATAAGACCAGAAGGGGCTGAAAAAATGTCCCAAGATGTAGTAAAAGTATCTGATAAAGGAAAAAAAATCAAAGTAAAGGAAGAGTTCGAAGTGATGTAATAGGGCTCTCTAGGGTCACTGCAGTCTCCCTAAGGCTGTCCATGCCTGTGTCCCTTGGATGCTCTAGTGGTATCCAAGGTCTCTTGGGCTGTTGCAGTCATCTCTAGAGTTGTTTAGAGGGATTCTGAGCCAATTTTGTGGTCTCTGGGGCTGTTTCTGTTGTCCCAGGAAAGAGGGAGAGAGTATGGTGAGGTCAGAGGACAGCACCAACACACAGACAAACGCTTGCTTACACATGCAGAGCTTGTGTGCCACAGTTGCACTAGCACACGTGCATGTGATTAACAGACACACTTGCATAGAAGGATGCTCGCCCCAGCTAGCCAAGCACAGGCACACATACCCTTCTGTGGACCAATTAATTAATCTGGCAGAAGGCCTGCTGACCCACAGTAGCTGGACAATAACTTTTGGGACAGTTAGAACTGGAACAGCGTTTGAGACTGCAAGAGTGATTCATATGATCTAGTCACTGCATTTGTGAACCAGTGCTGGGGCCTGCCAATGACAACCTCTCCTTCTCACACCTCCCAAAACGTTTGTGTGACTTCTGCACAAGTGGTCACAAAGTTGGGCCAGCCCCAGGACATTTTGTCCTAGTGTGACCCCTTAAGAGTCACATCTATCGGCCTCCGAAGCCTCCCACCTTCCTCCCCCATTTCCAGCCATCCCATGATGGGTCATGCAGAGGCATCAACACCTATCGTCTCCGGAACTTATTACGTGACAGTGGGACATGCAGTGGGATGCTTTTCCCAAGAAAGAAATTCAATCCTACAGTGAAGGATCATACATTTGGGGCAAAAGTCAGGAAGCTGGAAATAAGTGGACATTTCCTCTCTTTCATCTCCACTATTCCAAGTACTGAAGGCAATTTTGCCATTCACTGTACCCTGACAGGACTATGGGAAGTCCAGTGAAATGAAACTAGCACCCATTTGAAATTCAGGCAAAAAGAGTATTTATTCTGTGGTTAACAACCTAGCACTGAGCTGAAAGCATAGCACATCTTTATGTGCATCATTCGAGCAGAAGAAGTTGGGACACAAAGTAAGCTCTGCTTTCCACACTCAACCCAAAACCAGGCAGTGTCAGCCCCAAACTATCACTGACCAGTTGAGGACATCCTCTCCCCCTGCCAAGTATACAAGTAATTATTTCAGATCTAGAAACCTCAGAGTGTGTGAGAGTAATACTAGAGGAAGGAGCTAGATGGCTTCCCCCTGGGTAAGCAGATCTTTCCCTTGTAAAACAAGCATACATAAAGCAGATCCATGACCCTCCATCTCTTTCTCTGAACGTAGAGAAGCATTTACAAGGTGTTGCCAGCATATTTCACTCTGACATCACCGATGGCCTTGACACCCTTGTCCAGGCTGTAAGCAGAAGGGGTTTTCAGGGATCCAAGGTTTGTGACCATCAGCTTTCTGGAGAAAGACTTAAATGAGGCATTCAGAGGACTGTGGTGGACCCACAGCTCCTTTGTAGTGCAGAAGGAGGAACCTGCATGAGGACTGCGCTGTATCCCCAGGTCTTTAATTGTGCAGTAAGTGACTTCAGGGCACAACTCTACTTCCTTTATGGTACAGAATGTGGGGCGCTGGAGGGGTCTTTTGAAGCTGCTGAGATGCATCACAGGGTTTCCTGTTGACTCCCTCCACTTCAGCAGTGGATACTGCACCTCTTGGGTCTGCAGGGACTTGTGCCAGGATGGCCGTCCCACCAGACACATCCACGCCAGCCAGCCTGCTAGAGCCAGCATGGTCAGGACCAGCAGAGCCAAGGAGGCTAGGTAGAGCACCCAGTGCAATAGGCAGCAATGCCTCAGCACCCACTGCCCCCACTGCGGACCCTCCCCACCTGCCTGCAAGCGCACCACGGGTACAGCCAGTCCTGGGGTGGAGCACGGGCAGAGGGGGAAAGGTGCAGGTGGAGGGGAAGGCGCAGGATGGGTGAAGCAGGGGGTGTCCAGGGGATCTGGCGGCATGGGGGCATGGGTGGAAAGCATGGTGGTGGAGACCACCAGTGTGGTTGACGTCAGAGGAGGAGATGAAGATCTGACCATAGACGAGGTCTTTAGCATGGCAGTAGAAGGCACTGCTGTGGAGGTGGTGGAAAATGCACCAGTGGACACCATGAGAGTGGCATAGGTGTTGGTAGTGCCAGCAGCGAGGCTGGTTTGGGGATGGCTGCTAGTGCTGGGAGATCTGGTGCTCATGGTGGTTGGCAGTGAGGTGGTGGAGACAAGGGTGGCAATTCTGTGTGGGGTGCTGGCAGGAGCATTGTTGAGATCCCCAGGAGCAGTGCTGGGGATCTGTGTGGGTGTGATGGTGGGACTGGCTGGCACAGGAGTGGTGGTGCTGGGAGCTCTGGTGCTCACAGACATCGCAAGCGAAGTGCTTGGGCCAAGGGTGGAGTTACAAGGGGTGCTGAGCGGACATCTGGTGGTAGTGAGGGGAGGCCAGGTAACAGAATGGGGTATGGTAGTGTGCTCTTTGGGGATGGGTGGATGTGTTGGGAAGAAGGTGATCATGGTAGCTTTCTCCATTGTTTCTTCATCCTCTTCCTCCTCATCTGCATCCCCCACGTTACCACAGTTGGGCTTGAAGTGGATGATGGGCTTCCGCCAATGCTCAGGGGGACTGTGGCACAGCACCTTCTCAGGGGCAACCTCCACCTTTGTCTTCTCCAGGCCCCGCTCCGGCTGATAGACACTGTCCTCATTCTGATAGATCCATGCCCGCAGGTAGCGCAGGTCGCAGTCGCAATGCCAGGGGTTCTCAGTGAGGAAGACATAAGCAAAGAAGTGGCCCTCAGGGAAGAAGTCGGTGGGCAGGGTCCTCAGGTGGTTCCCTGAGAGCCAGAAGGTCTCCAGGTTTTGCAGATCCTGCAGTAGCTCCTTGGGGAGCTCCTCCAGTAGGTTGTCCGAGAGGTCCAAGTACTTGAGTTCCCTCAGCCCCGCAAAGGCCTCCTGGGGCAGCGTCCGCAGGCGGTTCCCTCGCAGGTCCAGGTCCTGCAGCCGTGGCACAGAGCGGAAAGCCCACGGGGCCAGTGTCGCCAGGCTGTTGTGGGCCACGGCCAGGTGGGTGAGTGCAGGCAGGCCCTGCAGGGCGGGCAGGGCGCCCAGCGCGTTACGGGAGAGGATCAGCTCCCGCAAGGACGGCAGCGGAGGCCCAGTGTGCAGAACCGCCAGCCCATTGTTGGCCAGGTCGAGGTCTTGCAGCTGGGTGAGGGGCCGGAAAGCAGCGGTGGAGACGGACACCAGGTGGTTGGTGTTGAGCAGGAGGATGCCTGTGTCTGCGGGCAGGCCTGGGGGCACTGTGCTGAGAGCCTGCCCCGTGCAGTTCACCTCCAGGAGGTCCTTGATCTTGTTCATCTCCAACAGGCACGGCTGGCCTGCGTCACTAGCACCGGCTGGGGGCAGCAGGGCTGGGAGGATGAGTAGGAGCAGGGCAGGGACCCACATGGCCTGGAGGGGACAGCCGCGAGGCGTGGACACAGGCAGGCACGCACCTACACCGTCACCTTTCTTCCAGTGCAAGCACTGCTCAGGAAGCTGGCATCCCCCGCCAGACCCCCTGGGAGCCCTCTGAGCCCTGCAGCTCCTCCCTGGAATGATGGAAGGGAGAGATGAGTCCCACACCTACTGCCAGCACCCACTCTGCCATCTTGTCCTTAGAGGGCTCAGCAAGGAGACCCTTTTGCTCACTCCATGCTCCTCCGTGAGAGGGAGAACCTGGTTCACGTGCCTCCTCACAGCAGTGCCTCCTCAGCCAGGGTGGCCCCGCTGCCCTGACCACTGGGTTTAGGTCCCTGCATACCCACCACCCCGCAAAGCCGTGCGCTGGAGGAGGCTTCCTGAATATGCTCTTACCCAACGCCAGCTGAGCCCTCTGCTTGGGCTCACAAGGTAGGAGCATGAATCATGTGAAAAGACCTTCCCGTGCACAGACGTGGCTACCCCGAGGGCCCGGCCCGCCGGTCGACACCCCTTCCCGGCCGCCCCCCCCGCCGATGGACACCCCTTCCCTGGGACTCACCCATGGACCCTCCGGTGTTTGCTCTCCGGCTGCTTTGCCTCCCTCCTGCCCGGGGACCGGGCGCTGCTCTGGCGGCGGGTGACAGGGCTGTCCGGGCCCTCTATCAGCACGCGCAGCTGCGGGAAGGGACCTGTGGCTTCCTGAGCAGCCAAACCCTTCTGCTGTCCTTCAGCACGGCCCTTGCTCTAACTGCGCTGCCACACCACCGTCTCCTTGGGAGAGCCTCAACCAGCTCCACAATTTCTTGCTCCTGCAGAGTAAAGGAGGAATGGTCGCACCCAGGAGGAGCCCTTGCATGGCTCCCTGCCCCCCAAGCCACACCTTTTTACATCCTGGGAAAATGGTCCCTTGCACAAACCTCTGCCCCTGCCTCTGCTTCGAGGCAGCTCTTTCTCAGCACACTCTGGGCTTCGATCCTTGCGGCATCTCAACCTGGGGACCTAGTGGGCATACCAGCGAGAAACAGCTCTGCACGTTACCTCAGCTACTTGTTTGTGCTGTAGACAAGGGATCCTTTCCTTCTGGCTTGCCAGGAAAAACGGGAATGGCTCTTCTGAAGAGCTGAGAGGCAGCTTTAACGTTTGTGGGAGAAGCCGCAGTGCAGACCAGGCAAGGAGATTAGAGGCAGAGGAAGTAGCTCGGTTTTGCAATTCCTCCTGCTGTCTGTTCCTGCAGCCAAGCTGTCTCGACTTCCCTGGCCCATAGGCCACTGCAGAGCATCTTGGATGGCAGGGCTGGAGGGTCACCCAAAAGCTGCAAGGGGAGATGCTATAGAGGAGGGGAGGTACGGGTTTTGTACTGATTTTCCATTCTGTGGATTGTGGTGGGCCAACTCCAGCCAGCAGCTAGGCACCCACCAGCCGCTTGCCCACTGCTCTATAGTGGGATGGGGAGAGAACTGGAAAAGCAAAAGTGAGAATTTTTCTCACTTTTGTGAGAAACCTTTGTGAGTCAAGATAAAGACAGTTTAATGAGTGAAGGAAAGAGAGAGAGGGGGGGAAAAAAGGATGCAAAAGCATTCACTCACCACCTCTCACCAGCAGATCCATGCCCAGCCAGTCCTCAAGCAATAGTACCTTGGAAAAACTCCCCCCCAGTTTCATTGCTGCGCATGATGCTACAAGGTATGGAATATCCCTCTGGTCCACTGGGGTCAGCTGTCCCTCCCATGTCCTCTCCCAGCCTCTCGCTCACCCCAGCCCACTTGCTGCAGGGGCATTTTAGTTCAGCTTGTAGCAAGAGAGCTGGAGGCAGCAGCAGAGGCAGAACTTGGGGGGCTGTTTTTTGTCTCTGCATCAGCAATTTCCAAACAGAAATCAGGGGATAGGAAGGGAGAGAGCAAATGTAACCCTGTTCTTCTCATAGGACCCCAGGTATTAAACCTGCATGTGGTTTCTCCTCCTCAGCACTAGTCCTACCCTCACCCTGGACCTACAGCATCCCCCATGACACCACCAGGTGTGCTCGTATGCCACAACCCCACATTCCCAATGCACAGCCCTAATCATTGCTTCTGCTTCTCTGTCTTCCTTTTCTAAGTGGATGAATGCACTAGGGCACCTTGAACCTTTAAAAGATCTTTAACCCCACCTGCTTCACTCCCTGAAGGAGAAGGAGCAGAAGACCCAAGCAGTCCACTGTGACGAGCCTTGCTGAAGGGGAAGGGGCATGCTGTACCGGAGGAAAGGGGTGCACAGGTCAGGAGTCATCGGCAGGCGCACTCTTCCCATGGCTGGTTATGAGCAGCAAGAAGGAGGCCAGGAATGATCCTGGAGTCCTGACATCCAGGTGGGGAGAGCGAAGGAGCAGGGACAGTGTCTCCTTGCTGAACCTGCTTCCCTCATGTGAAGGCAAAAGGAGATGAGGGTTACATCAGCCATCCTGCTAGTGATGATGTTTTTGCCCCACACCTGCAGTCCACTCTTTCATTTGTCCTAGGTTCACCTTTTAGTCCAGCCCATCAGCTTCTTCCCCTGTTCCACAGCCTGTTCGCAAACCCCAGGGGTCGATCCCCCATGAGGTTGTTGCCCCAACCTTGATTTCACCCGCAGGCTGTTTCAAGTGGGTCTTTGGAGGGAACAAGGTGATCCAGGCTGTTTCCCACTTCCTTTAGCACCTCACCAACACTGCACGTGACTCTGCAAAATAAGAAGACTATCAGGAGGTGACAGTGCCTGAAGGTCATAGAAATATACAACTGCATTGCCCCTGGCTTGAGGAACACAGTGCTCCTTCCCCAGTGCAGGAAGCAGGGCCTGTATCTTCACCTTCCCACCAGCCTTCTTTAGAGACACAATTGTCTAACCATTCTTCAGAGCCCTGGCAGCAAGGGTCATGCTCATGATGCCTGTCCCTGTAGTCTGGTGACACTGTTCACAGGGGCTTTGGAGCACTCTGTCACCGGGTCCTTCGGCAAGCCCCTCAGCTACTGCAGGCCTCACAGCTGGTTTGGCATCCACTGCCTTGTGTGGGCTTGTGCACGGCAAGGAGCAAAGCTGAGACATGACCACCAACCTCTGGGCAGCATTACTCCTGGGGGCTGGGCAGGCCTGCAGAGAAAGGTGAAAGCCCTAACAGCATCTCTGAGCTGTTCCCTTTGGGCCCCTCCATGGTAGGAGGATGGAGCTGCCCTGGGCTGGAGCATGAACAGACCTACCCCGGGCGCACACACAAGTGCATCCTTTTTCATTTCTAAGAAGCCCATGTATTCAGCAGTAATGGTGAACACTTCCCTTGGGAAGGTCCATGCTTGCTGCACATCAGCTGGATGAAGGATCTGGTGCAAAAGATCTCCTCCCTTCTGTACCTCCCTTCTGAGGGGTACAGAGGGCCCAAT